AGGCTTTTGGGGTTCACGAGAAGCTTATTGGCGAGGTTTCTCTGAAATGTCCTTCTATCACTCCGGACTCGTATGTTACACCGATTCCTGAGTTCGAGGTACTCTTCATGTTCGGGTTGACTCTGCGATACTCGCCACGCAAACCAGGCTTTTCGCTTCGCCTGTAGAAGGCGTTGTGTCCCCCTTTTTAGCCATGAACGTTGCTTTCTAGCTTTAGGTGTGACCAAAGGAACAGTGTCTGAGATCGCCTGGTGAATGATCTCCTTTACCACTCTCCAGTGTTCTTCTATTGTAAGCTCTGTCCAATTTTTTGGCCAATTTGCTTCAGACAAAAGTCTTCGCATTTCGGTGTAATTGGCTTTGTTATAACACAGATAGGGCTGTGTATTGTCCCACTGTAAACGCTCGCGGAGGACTATGTCGAATGTTATGACCGCATGGTCACTACTACCTATGGGAGTCGTGATCTGAACGTTTTCCACTAGTAGCTGGTCACTAGTGAGCACGTAATCCAGTCTAGAAGACTTCCCATCTGGGCCCCATCTAGTATCCATTCTGACATTTTCGGTGAATCCGGCCTCCGTGATGGTATGCAGCAGATTTCGATCAAACCTGTCCTGGGCACATCCCGTCATCAAGTTAAGAGATGGGGCATTGAAGTCTCCAGCTATGACAATTTGATCATAACCCAGGTCATGTGTCGCTGAAATTGCATTCAGCAGTACCTGGTTGTGGTCTGCTCCACATGAAGGTGATCTGTAAATGCTGCCCACTAGATACTTACAGTACCCAACGGTGAAATGGCACCATATGGAGTCAGGGAGCTCAATGAGGGGAGGGTCGATTGCATGGACACATCTGAGCTGTTTGTCGACGTATATGGCGACTCCACCTCCTTCTTTCAGATCCCTATCTCGCCTGACAAGGACCATATCATTTATACTGACTTCGCTGTCTGCCACCGTAGGGGTTAGCCAGGTTTCCGTCAGTATTATGATTTTGGAGTTCAGCTGTGATTGTAGGTATCTAAGTTCAGCTATTTTGCCTCTTAGACCTCTCACATTACTGTACAGGCAACTGGTAGTCAGTCTCACCACGTCCCCGTATTGGGGGGTGGTTGACGTGATGTGGGCTGTCGGTTGAGGAGTTATCCTACGAACTAGTTGGCCGATTCCCCGGGAACCGGCCTGTTGGAGTTTTTTTCTTCTGATTCAATCGGAGCACTTGGATGACACTGGCTATCATCGTCCGTGCTGCACCGCTGTATTGTGACTAGGGGTTGGGGATGTTCTATGACAACGTTTTGCTCTCTCCTTTGGGTACGAGGCCGGCTCTCGCAGCAGCGAATGTGTCTGCTGACCTTGTCTTTGGTCTCGTACCATCTCTGGAGAGCAGTAGTCAAGTGGTCTCGGGAGCTAAACTTAACAGCTAACAGATGTGGGGTGTTAATTGACATTAGGTGAGTGGGTCGAGGCAGTCTAAAAATAGAGACAGCCCCTGAACTTCCCAGACCCATCTGGGATGCCAACCATCTCCATTGCTGGACATCGTGACAGTGCTTCTCACAAGCGTTCCCAGTTTCCAGTTCAGGAATGCCGTGAACAACCATGGAGGCAGAAGGAATAAGCTCTGGCGACTCCCTCGCCATCTGTCTTTCCTTCCATGGCCTATCTGGCCTAACACGTATATTGCAGGTCCTCCCTATAGAAAGGACTTGGGAAGTCAATAAAACTTTTTCGGCATCTTCGGCAGAGCCTAGTGTTACCCTCAGTGGGGATGGTTTGCCTTGAGGAGCAGCAGTGCCCTTATACAATCTGCACAGTTTTACTGGTTGGATGTCCAGACCCAGTGTGCTACATAAGTTGGACCACTGTTCCTGATCAAACAGGGCCCTGTTTTCCAGCAGACTACTGCTACAGTCTGGTACATTAAAGAGGATAACGCAGTTTGATCGACTGACCGTGGATTTAGGTTCGGTCCTTGCACATTTGTCATCCCTCTTAAGACCGTTTTGTTTCATCTGGTGCAACTGGGCATTATTATGTGTCGCAGTGCTGTGGCCACTTTTACTGGTGGACGGTAAGGGTCTTTTCCCGGCGACAGGTACCCTTGGTGCTTCAACCTCTGTGTCTGGGGCGGTTATGGCAGGAATTGCAAGTATAACCGGTGTGGATTTTGGTATCCCCGATTTACATGCAATTGTGCTGTTTTCTGAGTTGGTGGGAGTGAAACGTTTCACGTTTTTTCCTGATATCTCTATGACATCTGTAGCTTTCGAGGAACTACACGAGGCTGCATTAGGACGGCAACTTGGGCAAATGTACCAGAACCATGGGCATGGGTTCTTACGCATAAAATCGTAATATACCTTTGGTACCCCGGTGTCACATCTACAATGTACCCATTGCTTACAAAAGTTACATTCGAAAGCAGAATCTGCTTGTTCGACAATAGAATTGCAGACCTTGCAATCGTCTGCCTTCTTGGGGAACGTTGTAGTCGTCTTGCGACGTCGTGAACGTTTCTTATTGGCCTTCCTGTTTGTTTCAAGGCCTACTGTGGATATAGGTGTCATACTATTCACCTGTTTGCTTAGTTTGGCTGAAGCTCTGGTGACTACGGTGCATGGTCTCCCATTACTTATCTTGGGATGAGAATCTATAGTCATTTTACTCCTAAAATAATACCGATGATTAAATGATAAGAGAGAGTGGAGTTTTGTCCAATAGACTGACAGCGAAAGACAGTAGAAAGCACAGAACGGAAAGATAAAGTATATAAGTAAAAGCTTTTGACTTTACCTGTAACTTTCGGGTTATTCGGCTTCACAACAATCACGTAACAGACCACCAAGTCCTGTATATTTGAAAGAGTGAGGGGGATGTTGCTACAGAAGTAGCACCTGAAGCTTGGGCAGTAGTTCGAGACAGTGGGAAGTACTAAACACAGGCTCGGTGAAGAAGAAATGGTTGAATAAAATTCGCCGGATAGGAAGATCAGGTTTCCCAAACGAATTATTCACAAAAGTGGATATTTCCTGTTAGACGGAAAAATGCACGTCGTATTCAAGGAGCGCGCGTCAGTGTTTGATTCGACTTATTTTATTCCTATTCTCTATAGGGTACGGTTGTGCACCAAATACACAAAAAAGTATGAAATAAAAACAACCGGCTTGTGGATAATTATATTAAAACCAAAAGTGGATATCATGACAGTAAGACCTATATGGGTAGCATTATACATTGCAAAGGAACTTTGTCAGCCTAGGGATCATAGTCTCCCATTGTATTTCCTTTATGAATGCATCTATTAATGATACATTGCATTTACCTATTTCATTACACTCTAATGATTCATCTTAGCACCTTTACTTTTCTAAAACAGCTTACTATCCCTTGTAAACGTTGTACTTACCTCAATATCGGTTGGCTATCGTATGCCTACACCTACGGGTTGAGAACTAAACGAAGTCGATTTTCCTGCGCAACCTGGAGGACTGCTGTTTAATTCAATAATGATACGACATGGGTCAGACAAAGAGTGTATTTATATATATATCAAATATTTAGCTGTTCAAACATTAACTTGTAGACAATCCACTATTTGACATTATATCATACTTGATCGTGTCTGTAAAATGGCATGCATTTTCATGTAAATTTATGTTTATATGAAAATATAAATTATTATTATTATTATAGAATACACAATGACTTATATCGGCAACTTCTCATCTGCTGCGTATAGCCCAAATGGATGAATTGAGCTGTACCATCAGATAAGAGAAAAGTAGGTGACATTATTTTAATATGCAATGAACATGAAGACGTCAGTTGTCTGCTGGATAGACTCAACTACGTACAAAGTCACACAATTCCTAAATTATGAGGAAGAAAGTCGTAACCAATTTGCAGTTTTAGACATACTTCTGAGTTGGAGAGACGGTGGTTCAACAAAACGGGCAACTAACAGAAAGACCACTTGGAAATGGCAGTACATACATTTTCATAGTTTCTGTCCACTTCAGTGTAAAAGAGGCCTGGTTAAATGCTCGTTCATAGGATTCAGAGTGCTTTTACGGCTGATGCTATAGAGACTACAAATGGATACTCTTAAACAGTAACTTGGAATAGTAAACACAGCAAGGATAATATCCAACTACTAGAAAGGCCAGTTTAGATAATAAAAATATTGCTACTTCGGAGGCTGGTGGTATTGACATTCGCGGATTATGCGGAGTATTCTAACGCAAGATCTAATACTCACAACTTCTAAAGTATTCGTTCCGCGTAGACCAAAGGCAAAGCAAAAGAACTGAATTGATTGTCCAAATTACGAGATATACTTCTGGACCAAATCTGAGTGAGAGATGATTGCTCAGCTGGCTAGGGATCGTGCACGAACTTGACACGACGGAGTACTGAATGGCGTGGATGCCTGACCAGAAGCCTTCAGCTAAGCAAGTCGACTTAAACAATCAGGGTCAGCATAAGTGCTGTGGTTAATAATTTTGGGGAATTATTTACCGCTACACTACTTATAACAGAAATCAGTAATACTAAAAGTTTACCTTAAAAAGGGTAATACGAGAGAAAACAATAAAAAACGAAAATCACGCTGAAAAGTACGACAAATTTCGGACGCGGCGTGACTGTCATACCTAGTCAGAGAGGAGATCTCGTTACAGTGTTCAGAACTTTGAGTAATGACTACGGACCTGACTTATCCTCTTTCCATTTCCATCAGGTCGGAACACCTCAGATAGCATAGCACGAGAGTTACAAAACCAAGAAGTAACTATTTCGCTGTGGAGTATTGATTCTCACACCGAGTCATCAGCTCCCCGAAGAAATGGTGTTATCTCCTTCATTTGAATCATTCAAAAAATTTACTAGAAAAGGATTAACGCAAGCATAAAGCCTTCTATCCCCAATCAACAAATTTGGATCTGACGCATTACATGCCCATTGGATATTGGATATTGGATACCAATCTTAACACTGATTCAAAAGTTGTGCTACTTGAATCAAATCAGCATCTCTTATTGACTAGTGGTTAGTTCTACGTCTTCTAGTGGTACTTTCGGTAGTTTTTAGAAGGAAAATGTAAAATGATAATTAGACGAATGACTTGTGATGATTGACCGTCATAGTTTTTGGTTAAATATTTTGATGGCATGCATTTTTTGACTAACGTGTTGTGGTGCTGGCGAGTAAAGTATATTGCCTTACTTCTTGCTAACAGATTGTTAGCGTTTTTCCCTATCGAGAAAAAGTGTCTGGCGAGTAGTCCATGCTGGTTTCCTGTGTACAGGAGTGATATTATTGAAAACATCTTCCTCCAAATGGAAAGTTTGGGTGTTTTGGGGGAGTAATTTTAAGGCATTTGCAGAAATAATTGAAGCTCTCGAACGAGTCGATTGGGTTTGCAGATATAATTTCTTCTGAAAGTCGGTTCCGAAAGTTAATTACTCTGTATGGGAACCAGTACACCACATTTATATAGTGCCTCCTTGACTTATAAACTATTATTTTATATTTTCTTTAATATCCCGATCTGATGAAAGAGAAAGCAGATGAGCCAAACCCGTATTTGTCTCTTAATATCTTGGACATCGTAATTAGATTGTCTCTCTGGCTAAGATATGATTGGAAGTAGAGATTCAATCTATTGTCATTCATCATATAATATTCCTTGAAACCTATCCAAAGTAAATGATTTCCATATTAGTTTGTTTATTATACATATCACACAGTGAAACAGTATTATTCACTGGATGACGTTTCGAACAAAATTTATTGTTCATAATCACATCAATTATAATCATACGACTTCGAAACTTGAGTCAAGGTCCAGCTGCTTGGATACTTTTGGTCTAATTTAGAGCTCATCAGATATATATATTAGGTGGTGTACGTGTTGCTGCTATTTCTAGTAAATACCCTGCATAACTTGCATCAGCATCTAAAAATGAGAGCTGCAACTGAGCAAGTATACCGTAGTTTTTAAGCTGTGACTTACTGACACCCAGATCAGCATGTGTTTAAAATAAAGCGGTTTTTGAACTGATAGTGTTTCCACAATATCTCATTAGCTGAATTTGCGTATTCGACGCACATGTTTGCACACTTTGCTATGTTGATGGTAAGCGTGCGTTCCTATTACCACTCTAGCAGATTGTTGGAATGTTTGCATTGCCAATATGTCTCCATCATCCTTCAGCTCCCTACAAATTTTCAGGTGGTCCACGTGAAGAACCATAAAGACTTGAACCCAGGCAGTTCACTGATATACAGGATAAGTAAGAGGTAGCTGAGTATGTTACCTTATAGCACACCATTATGTGCCGTTGTCTAGGAAGAGTTTTGAGTTAAACCTAACCCTCTATATCCTATCGACATGAGTTCTTTAATCTGAGTTCGTGTCTAAAAAACTTTCCAGTTCCTTTTGCAAACTTTTGTCAGGCGCTTTGTCGAAGGCCTTGCTGAAATCTATAGAGACGTCAGTAGGCATTCATCGATAAGAAAACAATAGATTCTGAAGCACTTAAAAGTGATGGTGAAAGTCATTAGTTACCACAAATCAATAATTCCCACTCTATTTTCCATACGGCCATATATTGACATCTGACTGACTGGTGTGATGGTGTATAATTTTCCACAAGGTGCGTCGGTTCAGTTTGTCGTACTTCGAAGGACACACAAAATTAGTTAAAGGTAAGGAAATTATGACGGATTAGAACGTACGGAAGAGAGAATAACTTCATGAAAATTAGCGGAAACTTTCAGAACTTGAAAAATAGCAACAGGTGAGCACTATGTGTGCCCCACTGTGGATAACTGTGAACTATGTCACCAAGTCTTCAACCAATACTCCTCAGCGTTTCGAAGACCACAAACAAGTCCCTATGTGGCCCGAAACAACAGTCAAAGTCTTTAAGGACTGATGTTGCGTTCTGGCGTAATCACCCCAAACTATTTTTCAGTCTCATCTAATAGCAGTTAAAGTTGCTCGAAGACTCATCACGAGTGATAGATATCGTATCACTGTTATTAAGTCCAACTTCGTCTTCACAGGACTAGGGAACCTAGAATCACATAATTTTACTCAGGCTGATGCCCCTGTAGCTATCACAAGATCTGTCTTCCTTCGTACAAAGGGGGAATAACCAATGATCTGCAACAGTCCGTTGAGACTGTCTCAGAATTACAAATACTTACTGATACCTCAGTTAATCTAGTTAGTAACTGATTGTTACCTATATACTTCTAGCATAGAGAAGTAGTCGATGACTTCATACATTTTTGTTTCATTTTGGTCTGACTACTCATGCCTGTCTTCTAACCAAGTCCCAGTTCAGCTAACATTGTCGAAAAAGACGGTGACTTCGTGTGCGCACAATGCATCCTAACCATCTCAGTTGATACAGACTTATAACCCCATACATTTACTTGTATTTTACGTAACATATCTAACCTCAACAATATTCATTGCCAAATTTTATTTGAGGGATTGAATGAAGATACCTATAATCCAAATCATGTAATCTCATATTTTCCGCTCTCAGTAACCGTATTTCACAGATGTAAATTAGGACCGAGAGAACTGCTATACATTTTGTTGAGTGTTCAGCTGCATCTTCAAGATGCTTACAATAAAAGCAGAAAAAGCAGCTATTCTCAAATCATTAGCTACATGCATGGCATTCTTCTTACCGACACCAACTCAGTAGTGCTCGCAAAATGGAATAAGTAGTTGTGCTGTTTCACGTGTTCATTTGAATGCAGATGGTATGGAAATCATTCTAGTCATCCTTTTGTGAAGATAATTATCTTTTCAACTTGTAAAACGAAAGAAAACACCACACCTTTTCATATAACGAAGTCCTTGCTAAAACTGATAATGCTTATCATTAGGTTGAAGTCAAAAGCTATATAAAGATCATAGGTTGAATATCTGTATTTTAGAAAGACTTGTCAGAAAGCTCGGGGAAATTAACGTACTACCTAGTGGAAAAAAACTATCTTTCAACCCCGATGCACTGTTAACAAACTTAAGAAACATAAGTATCCTGACACATATAATTTTGATAATTACACACTGTAAACAGATGTATAACATTCTCATGGACTCGAAGTTATTCATGTTCTTCATCTACAGAGTTCAAATAGCAGATAATATCATTACTTGTTTGCAACTATTCCCTGATATGAATTTCAATAAAAAAACAAAATAGTTTTCTCCAAAATAAAATGGTACATTCTTTTACTTAGTCAACATTCACTGCAAAAATTAAGTTTATACAGCAAGTTTCACGTATTTGCAAATGTAACATGATATGAGCTAGCACGAGACTCAAAAATTAATGAACAGTACTCAGAAACAACATTTGCATTACTCATACACAAAAGATCCAAGTTTGGACTAAACAAAGCCATAACATGATAAATGTTTAGATATAATGGAAAAGGATTTGCACAAAGCCTCAGGATGGTCGGGGGTGGGTGCCTTGCGCTGCGGGTTGGCCACCCCTCCGCACACCTCTTGAAATGCTCCCATATGACCGGGCGTCTTACATAGCCTCTCCTGAGGAACTCCTACTCACTGCCTTCACGTGGCGGAGGTGTTTTTCACCAAAGTGAGAGGGCGAAAGCGGATGCCCGGCGCTCTTCACCGGGTTGACTGTCCATTGGATGACAGTCTAGGGGAGATGGCTAAACCCTGATTCCAAACCTCCAACGACTGGCGTATGAAGCTCACTGGAGCTCACCGGCAGACGTATGGACAAAGGGCTTGTTGGATGTCCTGGATGTCTGGCCCCATTCAAAAAGGCGTATGAACCGAACTTCGGTCACCGGCTGCCAATGGATAGTGGACTCCCTACTCCACTCCTACTGCCTTGTAGGTCACACTTGGTTGTGTAAAGGCTAGAGCTGCACTCTCGAACAAAAGGCCGAGCGATTCTGGGGACATCACTCGTACCAAATTCCCATGAAACTTCATGAACTCTCTTACCTTGTCGCAAAACCTTGCAACAGATCGCCGCGCCTGGGCAGCGATGATTCGAGATGTTCATGAAGCCGGCTCATCCTTCCTTAGGAGATAGCCGAAGTAAAGTAAAAAGTAAGTAAAGATTTGCACAATACAGACAAGATGATAAACAACTAATAGGTTGCGTAACAATCTGGTGAGTTCAACTCAAATCGGAGGAACAAACGACCAGTAGAATTAAATCATAGTGAAAGAGGCAGAAATTAAAGCCAATGACTGCGTAATCAAACGAAAAGAAGAGTAAAGACATCGAGTTAACAGGGACAGGCAAAACTGATAACTGCTTCTCTATGAACACATAAGTAAGACTTCAAGAGTTAAACAACAATTTCCTCGGTAAATCTGAGGAGAATTGAACTACACTAGATTGATAATTTCAAAGGATTTCAGGGTCTTCACCTCATGACCCGTATCAACGAAATGCCTGGCAAAAGTACTATTGAAGGCATCTGTTCTCTTGAGACGTAGGCTCTTTCGTACATGTTCAGAAAACCGAAGGTGTGCCCCATTCTTTCTGTTCTCCCAATGCAACTGTTACCGCAGATACAGGTAAATTTGTATACACAACTAGAGTTAATTTAAAAATGATAATGATTTGCTTTATTCCAAAAGGTATCTATCAACCTTTGACTACACCAAAGAGCATGTTGTCCGGTAAACGGGAATCAACTCAGCTGCAGGATAGGTCCCGGTTAGTGACGTATTCAATCTTCAGTTGACTATTCCTGCAATATTATCACCTTTGAAATGGAGTTGTATGAAAATAGGCTTCTTTTTCACTATGATTTGTTTTGCATTTAAACCTCAGCCAGAAGTTCTTCCCTTAATATCTCCGTAGAGCATATTCTTCTGGCTCTATAAACTGGAAACGGTAAACACCATTGGCTGGAGACAATTGGTGATATACTTCAAAATCGTTCTCAATGGCTGGCGCAGATGCATCCACTCCTTGTGACTTATAATTCCCAATGAAACTATATTGTTCTTCGTTATTACTATTCTT